ATATATATATATATATATATATATATATATATATATATATATATATAATATAAAATGTAAAAACAATGTGTAAAACAACGTAAATATAAAACAACGTGAGGAAAATAAAACAAAAGCAATGGATAAAATAATGCAATAAATTTCATGGATAATTTTAAGAGCTATTGGTCTAATTAAATTAATTTTTTGTTTTATTTAATATTATTTACTATCCAATTTTTTTAAATCAAAATTTAATTAGCTTCAAAAACGCTGTACGATTTCATTACATTAATAATGATTAATGAAAACAATTTTACCTATTTCGATCAAAGATCTAATTATCAAAAATGAGAAAAATATCACATTTGAAATTCATCCCTTTCCTTTCCTTTCTCTCTCGTACATTTTATATCCGCATAATAATCAATCGGTATATTAAACGATAAAAAAAAGTATCACGAAACATTGAGTAAAAACTTTTTTTGCTGCCAATCCATTTGAGAAAATAAAACTCGTGCTCTCCTTCACCATTATCATTTACATCTATTTTTTCCACAACTGTAGCTGTTAATTACACAACGAATTTCTCTCTCTTTCTCGCGTCCTTTTCTTTTCCATCACGGATATTCGTGACATTGGGAATAAAAACGATAAGTACCCGTAGCGTAAGAAAGCATAATAGTTTCCACTGAGCAAGATCCGAGATTGCGAGAAGGCATGCAAACTATCTCGAGTAGCCCGAGTTATTTCGAGGCTTACGATTGCGTTTTCGAATTGCTGTACTTCGTTCCTCTCGTAAGTTTCGTGGAAAGTAAGGTAGGGAACCGAACACGGATAGAAACAGGGGACTCGAAAGTGGGTGGTAGCGGAGCTAGTTTCTTAACGGCGCATAATAATTATTGTGTTGTCGTATACAGAGGCACGAGGCTTTCGAGAAGTTTATTACGTCGGTGGAAACGAGCTCGTTGAATATTCGACCAGGCCTTATTCAGAATTCCGCGACACGATCGTCAAAAATTCGACGAGCATGAACAACGTCCGCCCCGGGCTCTCTCGGAAACTCCGTGATCGTGCAGATTAAATATTAATCCGGACGGTGTTCGGTATTCGGGTAACAATAGCGGGGGATTCGCCTCCTGTTACATCAATATTAATTGCCTCATCAACGTGTTATCGGCACCTTGGAGAATTTCACTTTGGATCCGAAGATCCGAGTCTAGTGCTACACCCCTTTTCTCGGTTTAAAAGGAATAATTATCGTGAGAATAATACGTGTGTGACGTACCCCTTTTGAAATTTCTGCATGTACTACGGGTATTTTTCATCGTTCGTTCTTTTATTCGCACGTGTGACATCAGATTGGGTAACCATTTTTATTATACGGGTGACACAGCAAATTGGCCTACATACGAATGTATATTCATACAGTCGACTTTTGTACGCGAATTAATAGGCAAAATTATACGATTTGAATGTTTACGGAATTCGAGGGAATTTTTATATCGTATCGTGTAAAACGTGAAGTGAAATATTACGTAATGATTTATATATTCATAATATTCGATTGCAAAATCGTTAGATATTTTATGAGCTTTAGCTAATTAACTAGTTTAGCTAATTAACTAGTGCTATAGAAATTAACGGAAATTCTGTTTTCAATGATATTTTGTGCGTGTAGATTTCATATAATAATCAATTATATGGAAATGGAGCAACTTCTTTCTTTAGTCAGAAGTATCATTTTGAGGAGGTGAAATCAATTGTTGAAATTTCAGTATTTTCATCTTTATAATACAACTTTTTAACGATATTAGAATAATATTTTAAATATATAAAATTTATTATTCTCTTGTAAAACTATTTTCAGTTATATTTAAAGAAACTTTTACTTCTATCGCTCAAATAAAAAGCGGATGAAAAGCCGATTTCTTTCTTAAAATAAAAAAAAAGAAATCAGAGAAAAACGAAAAACGGCAAAATCTTTAGATTGATCCAATAAAATTATTTTGATTTAACTTATCAGTCAGATATTTCTTTGTTATTTGGTAAAAATGAAGTTTTTCCATGATAAAATTCCGATTTCATAAATATATCGGTGTATATATTGCAAAGAGATAACGAGCTAATGAAGAATAAGTCGTATTACCGTTTCAGTGATTTTTGGAGCTGAGATAACGCGACCCAAGCCTCTTTTATGTTTTCAGACTTTTCTTATCAGCGAGTCGACTCGCACTTAACCGTGAATTAGCTTAACTTGAAACTAATTTTTGTTCCTTCGCTCGCTAACCTAACGATAATTGAATTAACAGGGGGGGAAAGGGATCCTCGAGCCTCGGTTCCCTCCTTTTTTTCCTTCCTGGTAGGGAAAAATTACACCTGAACCTTAGGGGTAAATAGAAATGAAATGGAACGAAATGATGGAGCATTATCTTGCATTAACGCATCCAATGGCACACTACGAGAAGCTAGGGGAGCTCGCATATGTCACTTATAAGCTTTCCGCACAGGAGATGGTGTGTTTAAGACCGCACATGGCGCTCTTGTGATTGCGTCCCTTGCACCGCTTTTGTGTCGCGTCACAGTCGTTAATAATGCGTAATTAATAACCTTCCCTGGCTTGACACATTTACACCCTGCTGTTAAAGGAATCAAAAGAATTAACGTATCGAGAATTGAATTATTTTTATCGCATGAAGATTTGCAGTAACGGATGGCATTGATGTTTATACGACGATGTTGTGTTGCGACATTGTTTGCATAATTTGTAATGGTATTATGGACACGTT